ACTCACACACCCTTTTACTCACTCTGTGACGCGCGCTGACTGGTGTTAGTTTTCACATTTCCTGGCGATTTGTATTCGCTCGTCGCCTTGTCACTGAGGTTTCGATGCCACGTTTTGTTTGTTTTTTTTATTCATGGGAGATTCCTCTTCATATATTCATGTGTTTGTAAAGGCGTTCATATTTGTGTTCTTTGTTCGTCGTCGTCGTCGTTGTTGTTTTTATTCTTCCATTTCTTCTTCGTCTTCTTATTCTTCTTCACATTATTATTTATTGTTATTATTATTATTATTATTATTATTATTGTTGTTGTTGTTGTTGTTGTTTTGTTGTTATTGTTATTATTGTTGCTGTTGTAGTTGTTGTTGTTGTTTATATTATTGTTTTATTTATTTATTTTGCATTTCATATTTCATAGGTGTTTTATGCACCTGCTGTTGGCTTGTACACTTTTCTTAGGTATTATTTTTATTGTGATTATTACGACTGATTTATTTGCCCGGCTATTTTCGTTTTGTTTGCAGTGTAATAAATTTGACTTGTTCTTTATCGTTTTCAAACAACTGCTAGACTTCGCTGTTCGTTTTTCCCCTTTTTATATCTGCTTTTCAAGCATCTGTTGAAGTAATTTGGGGGCAATTCTGCGTATTTGTGTCCGATTTATGACCGTGTTTATATGCCGACATAAAAAAGGAAGAAGAGTTTTTTTTTAAATATCTGTTGGTTTACAAGTCCTCTGGGTTGTGTTTTCGTTGCATTTTGACTAGCTGTTGCATTCCGGCATTCTGTTATCGGAAACTTGTCATGCAGATGATGCAGCGGCGACGGTAACCCGACACGGCGGCGGGGGAGGAGGACGGGTGGAGGAGGGAGGGGTGTTGGAGGGGAAGGTGGAGATGGGGTGGGGGAGAGGGGAAGAGGAGGGGAGGTGCTGGTGGAGGAGATGGGGGAGGGGGGGGTGAAGAGGTAGGGGGGGAGAGACGACGACGACGACGACGACGAAGAAGAAGGAGATGAGTCTGAGGCTTGGCATGCAGCTGCCCCGCTCGCCTGTTGATTCTGGAAGATAGTGTGTGAATGGCGCTCGCTCACTCCCGCTTATCCGGAGTGGGTCCGGGAGCCTTTCGCGGGGTGCGAGCGCCGAGGGGAGATGGGCATGCCGAGAAATATGTGTTAGGACTGTTGATTAAATTTCTATTTTTATCTCAATCCTCTCTCTCCTTCTTCTCTTCCTCCTCCTTTTCCTCAGTCATCTTCTCTGCCTCTTCCACTGCATTCTCATATGCCTCCTCGTTTTCCTACGCCTGTTTTCCTTCCTCTTTCTTCTCCTATTTTCTCTTCTCTTTCCTTCACTTCCACTCCCTCTCCTTTTCTTCCTCTTCTCCTCTCCTGCCCATCTCCGCCCCCTCCTCCTCCTCCTCCTCCTCCTCCTCCTCCTCCTCCTCCTCCTCCTCCTCCTCCTCCTCCTCCATTCCCTCTTTCCTTCCCCCCGCTTCCTCCTCTCCTCCCCCCCCCCCATCACCCTGCCCGAGCAACACTGACCCACAGCTCTGGTTTGTAACTCTATCTAGCGGGGTATAAAGATTGCACTCACAACTCGACCCGCTCTGCCTGTTTGTCTGTCCGGCGCAGAGGTTGTTTCGGTCCGACGGCGCTGGTTGGCAGGACGACCCTCGCTAGAAGTCCCAAGCAAGGCGGCCCCGTAGGATGGCCCTCGCAAGACAGTCCCGTAGGACGGCCCAAGCAGAATGGCCATCGCAGGATAGCCACACAGAATAGCCCTCACAGGACGGCCCCGCAGGAAGCTCCCGCAGGATGGCCCTCGCAGGACGGCCCCGTAGGACGGCCCCACAGAATGGTCCTCTTAGGACGGCCCCACTGGATGGCCCTCGCAGGACGGCCCCACTGGATGGCCCTCGCAGGACGGCACCACAGGATAGCCCTCGCAGGACGGCCCCGTAGGACGGCCCCACAGAATGGTCCTCTTAGGACGGCCCCACAGGATGGCCCTCGCAGGACGGCCCCACAGGATGGCCCTCGCAGGACGGCCCCACAGGATGGCCCTCGCAGGACGGCCCCGTAGGACGGCCCCACAGAATGGTCCTCTTTAGACGGCCCCACAGGATGGCCCTCGCTGGACGGCCCCACTGGATGGCCCTCGCAGGACGGCCCCGCAGGATTGCCCTCGCAGGACGGCCCTCGCAGGACGGCCCCGTAGGACGGCCCCACAGGATAGCCCTCGCAGGACGGCCCCACAGGATGTCCCTCACAGGACGGCCCCGTAGGACGGCCCCGCAGGATGTCCCTCGCAGGACGGCCCCGTAGGACGGCCCCACAGGATGGCCCTCGCAGGACGGCCCCGCAGGATGGCCCTCGCAGGACGGCCCCGTAGGACGGCCCCGCAGGATGTCCCTCGCAGGACGGCCCCGTAGGACGGCCCAAGCAGAATGTCCCTCGCAGGACGGCCCCGCAGGACGGCCTTGTAGGACGGCCCCGCAGGATGTCCCTCGCAGGACGGCCCCGTAGGACGGCCCAAGCAGAATGTCCCTCGCAGGACGGCCCCATAGAATGGCCCCACAGAATGGCCCCACAGAATGGCCCTCGCAGGACGGCCCCGCTGGATGGCTCAAGTAGAATGGCCCTCGCAGGCCGGCCCCGCAGGATGGCCCCACGCGACGGTCTGCCCCTTGCGTAGGACACAGATCACAAAGCGCACTCTGTGGAACGGATAATGCCGTAATCAGCGGGTCGGGAGTCTGGATTGAAGGAGGCTGGCCTGTAATTACGGTCTACATGTGGTCTGGCCGCTGTGCTATCGGGGGTCCGTCCGCGAGGAGTAACGGGGAGCGCAGAGTCATCGGCCGCGTTCGCTCAGTCAGCTGACGTGGGGTGGAGGGAGGAAGGGGACGAGGGACGAGGGGGAAGGGGCGGGCGGTCCTTTGGCCCTCCAAGGGGGGAGGGAAAGGGGGTGTTCATTTGGCCCTCCAAGGGGGAGGGAGAAGTGGGCGTTTCTTTGGGGAAGGACGCGGGAAGGGGTGCTCGTACAGGGGAGGGGGTGCTCCCGTGGCCCTCCGATTGGCCGGGGCGACAGAAGGCTTGCGGGTCGTTAAGGCGTGACGTCATGTTGAACTGGATTATGATTGCGCACAGGGAAAACCACCGGAATGTGGGTGGTAGACGTTATAGCGTTTTTTGTTTTTTGTTTTTTAAATTAGAGTTGCATGTTACTTGGGAACATGCTTGCGGGGGCTAGTACCAAAAAATGATGCATTTGAACTGCTGTCTTCGGCATGTTTTTCTTCTTTCACTTCTATCATTATTATTGGTATTGTTATTTTTCTTCCCCTCCTATTTCTTCTTCATCATCTCTTCCGCCTCCTCCTCCCCCTTCTCCTTGCCGGAAATAAGCGAGTAGAACTGGCAAGAGACATGATTACAGTTTAGCGACGAAGACATATTTGAGCAACCACGAGGTCAGGCGAGGTCACGGAGATCGGCCGTTGCCTCTTCGGCGCCTCCTTCGTCGGAAGCGGAATGTGGATGGCGGGAAGGGCGGGGCCGGACGAAGGGGCACGGGGAGTAGGGCCTGGCGGATAGGTGGCTCGAAGGGGGCTTAGAGGGCGGCGTTGAAGGAGGCTTGAAGGGCTTGGCTTGGCTATGTGGGTCGGAGGTGACCTATTGAAGGTGGCTTGTGAAAACTTGGCTTGATTGAGATCTGTAGGTCGAAGGCGGCTTAGAGGGCGAGGGTTGCTTGTGGGGACGGCGTGGAGAGGCGGGCTCGGAGAACTTGCCTTGGCTTGGCTTGCCTCGGGTGTGTCGATCGAAGATGGCTTGGAGGCTAGCTTAGCTCTGCTTCTCGCTGTGCTTTTGGTGCTTGCTCTGTCTAGCTTGCCGCTGGATGGGACTTGGCTTCCTGTGTTTCCGCCGTCGCCCTCTAGTTCTTTTTCTTTTTTTTTCCTCTCCTGTCCTCTCCTCTCTTCTCTCCCTTCCCCCCCCCCTCCTTTCTACTCTCTTCTACTCCGCTCCCCTCCTCTCCTCACCCATTACCTCACCTCTCCTCTTCTTTCTCCTCCCCTTTTATCCCTTCCTCTCTCCTTCCCTCCCCCTTTCCTCCCCCCTCCCCTCTCTTCTCTCTTCTCATCTCCTCTTCTCTCCTCTCCTATCCCCCCTATCCCCCTTTCCTCTCCTCTCCTCTCCACTCCTAGTCTTTCTTTTCCTTTCCTCTCCTTTCTTCTCCTTTCCTCTCCTTTCTTCTCCCTTCCCTCTCCTTTCTTCTCCCTTCCCTCGTACGCCTCGCTTGATGCTTAATTGGTCGATGTTCCACGAAAGTTGCCTCGTGTGACGCGTCTCGCTAAATTGCATCCTGCTGTCGTAAATTGCTGTTGGCGTAAGAACCGACACTTCGCTTTTCCTTAATCTTCTTTTTTGTTTTGTTTTCTCTTGTTAATGTGGCTTTTTATCTATTATCCTTTTGTTCATCTGTAGTTATTTATATTTGATTTTATTTATTGATGTGTCTTTATATTTCCGTTTTTTCCCAGACACCCCTCCATTTAAGAACGTGGACAGTTTGCTTTCACTAAAAATGAAATCAATATTTTGGTTAAAGAGAGTTCAGTATTACAGTTTTTTTCTCGCTCACTTTTGGCTCCTCTGCGTCGGGAAAGTGGGTGATAATCGTTTTTTTCTCTTTCATGGTCTTACGTAACGTTATATCACTGTGTGTGTGTGTGTGTGTGTGTGTGTGTGTGTGTGTGTGTGTGTGTGTGTGTGTGTGTGTGTGTGTGTGTGTGTGTGTGTGTGTGTGTGTGTAATTGTAAGTTTGTGTCTTTGACTGTTTGTTAAAGTATGAAAAGCTCGTCTTTCAAATTCCTTGTAATATTGTTGATGTTCCTATACGTAGCAAGGCAATAATTTTATATAATATCCGATAACATAATTTAAAGTCCTCTAACATAACACACAGTTCTGTAATAACCAAAGCCTATCCCCCCTCCCCCAG